GCCCTCGTAGAGAATGTTCAAGAGGTCATGGACGTCGCTCGCAGCGGCCCCGCCCCGTCGCCGCTATATCGGGGCGGCAGCGGCGGCGATGGGGGGGGGAGACCAATGGGGGAATCCGATGGGGGGTGACCTATGGTGGGAGACCCGTGGGGGGAGGAGACTTCGGGGGAGACCTAAGGTGGGAGACCTGTAGGGGCATGGACTTACGGGGGGAGACCTTTGGGCCGAGGCTTATCCGGATGGGAGTTATGCAGGGGAACCTACGGGAGGATACTTCAGTGGGTGGTGGGACCTATAGAGACCCATGCGGGGTGACGGACATTGTTATTAATGTATGAGTGGGCGGTGTCATATCAGCATGATGGTTTGCTGTCGTTTGGTTGTGGGCTGTGTGGGGGTGTGGCCGCGCTGTCCCAGAGCTTTTCGAGGTGGCGGGCGCGACGGCTTGGAAGGACTCCCGAAGGCTCTAGTGCGCACGCAGAAACAGAAAGAGAATCGAAGAATTCCCTGGGGCTCATGTTTCATGAGGCTGGGGCTGGAGCTGGGCTCGAGCTGGATCTGGGGCTGGATCTGGAGCTGAGCTGGAGCTGGAACTGGAGCTGGAACTGGGGAGGTCCTGCAAGTGCTGTTGCAGCTTCCCGTCCTCCTCCTTCTCCCCGTCCTCCTCTGCCTCCTCCTCTCGAAGAACACGAAACGCTTGACAGTTGGATCGGGGCAAAGACAACTCATTCCCGGGAGAGGAGCTTGGGCAACACGGCAAGCATGATTACCCCAGCAAGGTCTTTGAATAGTAGTAACGGTGACCCATGGGACCTGGTGTATTTGTGGGACCTGCGGGTTTACCGGACCTGCCGCACAAGGGGGACCCATGGGACGTGCGACACTTGTGGGAATTTGCGGGACCTTCGACATATGTAGGAGAACCTGTGGCATTTGTGGGACTTGTGATGCTTGTGGTGACGGCGATGCCTTCGATACCTTTGGGACCTGTGGAACGTGCGGGACCTGTGGGACCCGTTGGACCTGTTGTGCCTGTGGAGCCCGCGAGACGTGCGACACTTGTGGGACCTGTAGGACCTGTGCGACTTGTGGGACATGCGAGACCTGTGGCATTTGTGGGTCCTGCAAGACCTGTAATCCTATTGGACCCATGGGGCCTGTGGGACCAGTGGGGCCTGTGGGACCAATGGGACGTGTAGGACCTGCGAGACCTGTGAGACCTGTGGGACCTGTGGGACCTGTGGGACCTGTGGGGGCTGTGGGACCTGTGGGACTTACGGTGCCTGCGAGACCTTAGACACTTGTCGGAACCGTGGGACCTGTGGGACCTGTTGGACTTGGGGGAGTTGTGGGACATGTGGGACCTGGGGGACCTGGGGGACTTGCAAGACCTGTGGGACCTGTTGTACATGTGGGACCTGTGGGACCTGAGAGACTTGCGAGACCAGTGGGACCTGTTGTATGTGGGACGTGCGGGACTTGCAGCGGCCTCTATGAGAGACTTCTTGGGGTCTCTTGGGGGCTCCCGAGATCAGATCATTGAAGCATTTCTGGGGCTTCCCTGGGGCGTCTTTTGAAGACGCCTTGGGGGCTTTTCTGGGGGCGTCTTGGGGGCCCCTCGGCGGTCTCCGGGGCCATGTTGGGGGGAACAGCTCGAAGTGTCAGTTTGGATTGTCCTTCTTGGGGCCCTCTTGGGCTGCATTGCACGACTTTTTCGGTTGTTTGGGGGCCCTCTTCGGCTGTTTTGGGGGCTTTTTGGGCCGTCATGGAGCCTTCTTGAGACCCACTTGGGCCGTCTTCGGGCGATCTTTGAAGCCTCTTGGGCAGCCTTGCGCGGTCGGAAGCTCGACAAGACGAGAACGTTTAAATCGAGCGAAAACCAATGGGGAATCAATGAATTTGGGCGTCTGGGGCTTTCTTGGGGGCCATCTTCGGGCTCTCGTGGGGCGTCTTGGAGGCCTTTTGGGCCGTCCTGAGACCAGCATGGGCGTTCTGGAGCGGTCTTGGGCTGTGTCGGTGCTCCACGGGACCGTCCAGGAAGCGATCCTGGGCCCGCTTTGGCGGCTTGGGATGGCCTGGACTCCCGGAACCGAAAATCCAAACGTCTTCCCGATGGGATCGCCCGGGGCCGAATTTATCTGGGGGGTGGTCACCCGAGGTTCTCCGTTATAAGAAAATACTCAAATAGTATGGCAACCTTCTACATACCTACCTACCTACCTACCTACCTACCTACCGACCTACCTACCTATCTACATACATACATACATACATACATACATACATACATACATACATACATACATACATTCCCCAATCAGAGCTTGCCTCTGTAGGGGTCCTAGCGGATTCATATGGTTAAGTGAGGTTTGCCACCGATGTCCGCGGCCCGGGTGCCAAGGTGCCCGGGTGCTTTATAGCCCTAAAGCCCTATAGCCCTATAGCCCTATAGCCCCATAGCCCCATAGCCTTATGGCCCAATAACACTATAGCCATATAGCCTTATAGCCTGATAGCCCTATAGCCCTATAGCCCTACAGCTTTATAGCCCTATAGCCCTGTAGCACTATAGCCCCATAGCCTTATAGCCCTATAGCCCAATTGCCTTATAGCCCTATAGCCCTATAGCCCTATGGGCCTGTACTCTTATAGCGTTGTAGCCTTACAGCCGTGTAGCGGTATAACCCCATAGTCCTATAGCCCTATAGTTCTATATGCCTATAGCCTTATAGCCCTGTAGCCGTATAGCCCTATGGTCCTATAGCCCTATAGCTCTATAGCCCTATTGCCCTACAGTCCTGTGGCCCCATAGCCCTATAGCCCCAGAGCCCTATAGCCTTATAGCCCTATAGCCATACAGTCCTATAGCTCTATGGCCCTATTGCCCTATAGCCCTATATACCTACAGCCCTTTAGCCCTATAGCCCCATTGCCCGATAGCCCTACAAATATTATGCTTAGGGCTATTTCTCCGGTGCTATATATATAAGATGTGTATGTCTGCGTTTATTAGACATGCATGTACCGACTATACATCTGGTGTATCGTTATCATATACACATTATCCCCAATCAGAGCATGCCTCTGTAGGAGGCCTAGCGGATTCAGAAGGTTAGGTGAGGTTTGCCACCGATCTCCGCGGCCTGCTTGGCGCCCGGGTGCCCAGGTGCCCGGGTTCCCGGGTGCCCGGGTGTCTTATAGCCCTTCAGCCCTATAGCCCTATAGACTCATAGCCCTATAGCCTTATTGCCCTACAGCTTCACTGCCCAATAGCCCTGTAACCTTATAGCCCTATAGCCCTATAGCCTTACAGCCTTATAGCCCCTATCGCCCTAGAGCCCTATAGCTCTATAGCCCTGTAGCCCTATAGACTCATAGCCCTATAGCCTTACTGCCCTATAGCTTTACATGCCTATGGCCCTATAGCCCTATGGCCCTATAGCCCTATGGCCATATAGCCCTATAGCCGCATAGCCTTATAGCCTTATAGCTCTATAGCCCTACAGTCCTATAACCCTATACAGCCCTATGGTCCTATAACCCCATAGCCCTATAGACTCCTAGCCCTATGGCCCTATAGCCTTATAGATCCATAGCCCCAGAGCCCTGTAGCTCTATTGCCCGATAGCCCTATAGACCTATAGCATTGTAGCCCTATAGACCCATAGCCCCCCTATAGCCCTGTAGTCCCGTAGCCCTATAGCCTCATAGACCCATCGCCCTACAGCCCTATAGCCCACAGCTCCATAGCCTCAAACAAATTATGGTTTGGGTTTTCCCCGGCATCATAGATCGATTTCCCGTTTATTTTGGGATAGATTTGGGTGGGCCTCCAGGCAGGACTCATCCCTGGTCTTGTGTCGACCAGAGATGAGTCTGGGGGTCTCAGGTCGATGGGAGATGAGTTTTGGGGCGTTCTTTCGTCTCCAGTCTCCGTCGACTGGAGATGATCCTTGCTGACTGTGGCAGTTTGCGGCGGTACCACGAGATATGTTGTGAGGGAGGCGATTCATGAGATCGCAAGCCTCTGAGCGGGTGGTAGTTAGTAGTTAGTATGCAGAAGTGCGGTGCGATATGTAATAAGTCTAGACGCTGCGACTATCCGAATCGCATCTTTCGCGAAACGGTGATGCTACATGATGTTTCCCAAGAGGTTTGGAAACCTCCGGAATCCAACGTTCGGGGACCTCACAGCGGTATCGCCCGTTAGGTTGCCGCAGCCCATACACAGACATATTCATACAAACATGCAGGTAGGCAGACAGACAGACAGCCATACATACATACATGTTTGTATTTACATACGTACATAATACATGCATGCATAAAGCACGCACACACCTACACGCATACATATATACATACATGCATACACACATGCATACATGTATGCATGCATGCGTGCTTTCGTGTGTGCGCGTGCCTGTACGCGTGCATGCATACATACATGCATGCCCATACACATACATGCATGCATGCAGACATACACACGTACGCACGCGCGCACACACTTACACACATACATGAACACATACATACATATATCAGTACACACATATATGCATGCATGCATACATACATACATGCATACATGTACATATACATATACACATACCTATACATGTACATCTGCACACATACATATATACATACATACATACATGCATGCATGCATGCATACATACATACATACATGCATGCATGCATGCATGCATGCGCATACATATACACATACACGCACATACACATACGCATACATACACATACGCATACACACATATATGCATACATGCATGCATACATGCATGTATGCAGGCACACATGCATACCTACACACATACATACACACATGTACATTCATACATGCATGCGTACATACATACATGCATGCATACATCCATGTTTAACTATACGCATCCATACATACATGCACACATGCATGCATACATATAGACATACACACATACATGTGTGTAACATGTTGATGAATGCTATTGAGCAGCGCCACCCCTTTTCCCCTGCGGCCGCATCCACGCGGCGACATGTGCTTTTCTTACTTGGCGTTGCTTGGTCTGCGCACGTGTTTGTTTAACTTGTTCTACGCCCGGCGCCCCTGTGGCCCTTGGTCACTCCCGTGGCCCCATTCCCCTCTCCTTCCCTCGGGATGGAGCTCGGGGCAATGCGGATGTGGGGGCGGAAAGGGCGCGCAGAGGCGAGCCGGACTTTCCTAGTCTTCCTGTCCCTGCCCTCTCGATCCCTTTGCCTTCCCTGCCGATCCTCCCCCTCCTCTTCCTCCTCCTCCTCCTCCTCCTCCACCTCCTCCTCCTCCTCTCCTCACCTTATTCCTCCTCCCTCCTCCTCCTCCTCCTCCTCATCCTCCTCCTCCCCCTCCCCCTTCCTATTCCTCCTCCTCCTCCTCCTCCTCCTCCTCCTCCTCCTCCTATTCCTCCTCCTCCTCCTCCTCCTATTCCTCCTCCTGATTCTGGCCGCATTCCTAGAGACCCCCTCTCCTCTCCTCTTCCTGCTCCTCTTCCTCGTCCTCATCCTCCTGCCGAAGTAGGCGGGGAGGCGGTCACGTGGGCGCACCTGGGGGGGCCGTAGGTGGGGCTCCCTATGGGGACACGACCTTCGTGAGGGGCACTCTGGCATGAGCTGGGGGATCGCACATGGACTTACCCAGTGGGGCCGTAGGTGGAGCTCTCCGCCCTATGGGGCCGCGGTCCTCGTGACGAGCATGCCAGAATGAACAGGGGACGCACGCAGCCCCCCCCCCCCCCCATGAGGCCACGATGCTCGGGAGAATGGTGCCGACATCAGCGGGGGGCGGCATGTGGACGCACCCGCTGGGGCCGCAGGCGAGGCTCCGTGTGGGGGGCCGCTGTCCTCGTGAGAGGCGTGTCGAAATGCGAGGGGAGGCAGCAAAGTTATAAACAACAAGCAAAGAAGAAGACACAGAAAGTGAGAGAGAAGCAAGAGAGAGAGAGAGAGAGAGAGAAAAGCAAACAAGAAAAGAGAGAGATAGAGAGAGCGAGAGAGAGAGAGAGAGAAAAGAGAGAGAGAAGAGGAGAGACAGCAGGAAGGGGGGAGAGGGAGGAGGAGAAAGGAGAGAGAGAGAGATAGAGAGTGGAAGGGAGGGAGGGAGGGAAGGTAGGGAGGGGGGGGGAGGAAGGAAGGCAGGATCGAGGGAGAGGAAGGAGAGACGCAGGGGACGCGGGGGGGGAGGGGCGCAGGGTCGGCAAGGGCGCGCGGCAGGACGGCGGCGCACGAGCATGGAGCGCCCGCCACGATCTCGCCCGAGTCCCTGACGCCCCACGCCGCGGGGGCCAGTTCAGGGGGCCACCTGCGAGCCCTGCCCCTGCCCCCCAGGATTTCTGGGGGGCAGGGTGGGGTTCACTTCGCTCGGGAGCTCCCGGACGAAGCGAACCCCAGCTTCCCCCTCAGAAATCGTGGGGGGCAGGGGTAGGGTTCGCAGGTGGCCCCCTACAGTTCACTTGTACATGAGGGCTGGGCCTCTCTCGAAGAAGAAAAACTACATGAACATAAACTTTTGGCGCTCCGCGCGGATTTCTTGGCTCCGCGCCTGGGCCCCCCAGGCGGCGCCTCCGGCGCCGCCCCTGGCGCGCTCCGCGCGCCAGGGAGGGGGGCCCGGCGCAGATCCAAGACATCCGCGCGGAGCGTCAAAAGTTTCTGTTCATGTGGTTTTTTGCTCCTCGAAGTTCACTTGCACATGAGGGCTGGGCCTCTCGCCACCTAATTCTAGGCCTCCTAGGTGGGGTCCGAGTAGAGGGGGTCGGAGGATCGCGCCGCATCGCCGATGCATCGCCGATGCGGCTTGTGGAGCCCGATTTGCTCCACGCCGACGTCACCGGTGCATCGCTGGTGCATCGCCGATGCATCACACATGCTTCGGTGATGTATCGCCGATGTATCGGCGATGCGGCGCGATCCTCGGGCCCTATCTACTCCGACCCCATCTAGGAGGTCTCTGCTAATGTTGCGTCGGGCATGCCCCTCTACAGGAGGAATGTTTCAGAGCAGTCCATCAAGGAATCGTCCGGTGACGATGTCCTTCGTGCTCCCTTGACTCTCTCTGAGCATGTGTTGGCTATATTCCGAGGCGGGAATTTATACATGACCACCGCCTGGAGGGTCAGTTTTTGGAGCCTCGGCAGGCGGAGGATCTTGACATATTCGGGCCCACGGGGCCCGAAATATATCCACATCCACCGCCCGCTGGGGCACCAGGACGTCGGCTCCCAGGCGGTGGACATGGATAAGCCCCCGCCTCGCATTTGTTTTCCACAGAAGGGATCTTCCAACGGCCGCCTGCAGGAGGACGTGCCCGACCCGAGCCTATTAAAATGAAGCCCCGCGGCGCCGCCCGGCTCGCGCCGCTCGCCGCGGCCCTGCTGGCCCTGCTGGCCCTGGCGCGCCCGGCGGCCGGCAGCGCCTCCGCCGCGCTGGCCGCGGACGCGGGCGGCGCGGAGCAGTTCGACGAGAGCCTGGAGGACCTGGCCGCCGAGAGGGACGACCTGCGGGCCCAGCTGGCCACGAAGAACCAGGAGCCGCAGAGGCAGTCCCAGACTTGTGGTGTTCCAACCGACGTTGGCCTGGATCACCAGGAAGAGTTTCGAGCACCAGAAAAGTACCGAAACTCGAGGGTTCTCACGTGTCGGGCCCTGGGAGGTACTCGTCCGACACTGCTTCGACACTCGTTCGACACTTTTCCGGGTGCTCGAAATTGTTTCTGGGACGTGGCCCTAAGTACGATAGGAGCAACATCATCCCAGACACGATCGCGTCGTGACGGATCAGGGCGGGAGGGTGTTGCCCGTGTTCGGCCTCGGTGGGCACTCGCCGGGCCTCGGGGCCGTCAGAAAGCGAGCCGGGACGAAAAACCGGTCCTGGGGAAGGGGTGGGGTTTTTCAGGGACCGCGCACTGAAAAAATCAGGTCGTCGCAAGTCTGGGAAACCAGCATAAGCATAAACTGTCGACGCTCCTCGCGGATTTCTTGGATCTGAGCTGGAAACCCTTGGCGGCGCATCGGGCGTCGCCCCTGGCGCGCTCCGCGCGCCAGGGAGGGGGGTTCAGCGCAGATCAGGGAAATCCGCGCGGCCCTCCACAAGTTTATGTTTCTGCCGTCGCTTGTTCCTCGAAGGAGTTCTTGGTGCAGCACAGCCGGGCCGATCGGCTTGCCGCCAAGGTCACGGCGCTCAGGCAGCAGCTGGCGGCTGCGGAGGAGAGAGAAGAGGAAATAACTGCAGAACCATAAACTGTCGGAGTTCTGCGCGGATTTCTTGGATCGGCGTTGGGCCCCCCTCTCTGGCGCGGGCGATCCAAGAAATCCGCGCGGATCTCCAACACATTGTGTTTCACCGCGAAGGGTGTTTAGAACCTCCCCAATGGGGGATAACCAATTGCTTCTTCGGCGGCCTTGTTGAAGGACAGGGGTCCCACCAATAGTTGGAGATGAGATATCAGTTTCCGCAGCACCCGCCGCGCAACAACGAGAGGAGGAGGAGGAGGAGGAGGAGGAGGAGGAGGAGGAGAAGAAGAAGAAGAAGAAGAAGAAGGAGGAGGAGGAGGAGGAGCCACAGCAGGAGCAGGAGCAGGAGCAGGAGCAGGAGGAGGAAGAGATGGACGAGGAGGAGGAGGGGGAGGATGAGGAGGAGGAGGAGGAATGCTATGGAATGCTATGGAAGGGACAAATGTCCCGCTGGCTCCCCAGGGTGGCGCATGTACCGCTTCCGCCACCTGGGAGCCACTCCTCTCCTGGCACCCCAGGGCGGCGCCGTCCGCCACCAGAGAGCTCCAACCGCTGACCCCGAGGGGCCCGCCACAACACACCAATCCGCCGACCCTCGAGGGGCCCTTATCCATCATTACACTCCGACAGCCCCCTCACGCGTGGCGATGGCTCATGGCTTACCGCCTGCATGGCATCCTCCAGCGTCCTCAAGGCAATCTGCGCCTTCGCGAGTGTCCGAAGAGCACTGTCGTCGTAGCTCCACTCGCCCTCCTCGGTGATCGTCGCGATCGTCCGCTCCAGGTTGCACACGAGCTTCGTCATGATGGGGTTAACAATGCCCTCTAGCTCGTCATGCTTGCTCTCGATCTCAGCCTTCCCCTCGAACAGGGCCTGTTCCAGCCAGTCAATGGTGGGAAAAATCGCCTTCACGACCTTCTCCGTGTCGCCAACCTCGAAGTTGTGCTGGAGCTCCTCCTGCTGGAAGGTGTTGAGCATGATGGAGCAGTAGTTGGCGAGGCCGAACACCGCCTTATCCTCCAGCGTGTTCTGCTCGCCCTTCTGCTGCACCATCTCTGTCACCATGGGCGGACCAGCGGAAGTCGCATCCTCGTACTTGCGCCGCTGCGGCTCCTTCTCCTCGAGCTTGTCCTGCGGTTTCTCCTGCAGCGCGTGGCGCAGCTGGGTCTCGGCGTCCGTCTTCTGGAGCTCCACGCCCGCCTCGCTGCCGACCTCCGTCTCCTCGGTGCCCTTC